TCAGCCAGCTCTATGAGAGTTCAGCCATTGACTATGCTCACAGGCCATGGACACACAGTTAATAACAATTTTTTAGGCCGGGTGCAGTGGCTCACACCTGTAATCCCAGCACTTTGGAAGGCCGAAGTGGACGGATCACGAGGTCAGGAGATCGAGACAATCCTGGCTAACACGGTGAAACCCCATCTCTACTGAAAATACAAAAACAAAAAACAAACAAACAAAAAAACTAGCCGGGTGTGGTGGTGGGCACCTGTAGTCCCAGCTACTCCGGAGGCTGAGGCACGAGAATGGGGTGAATCCGGGAGGCGGAGCTTGCAGTGAGCCGAGATTGCACCACTGCCCTCCAACCTGGGCGATAAGTAAGACTCCATCTCAAAAATAATAACAATAATAATAATAATAATAATAATAATAATTTTTTAGTTGCATTAGTTATAAGAGGCTTGCTTCTATTTCAACTTTTCGTAGAACATGATGCAAACCTCCTGAGGATCTGAGCTGTCTTGCCCTCCCTCCTCCCCAGCATCTCTAAATTATTCTTACCAACTTTTGATGCTTTGATTGTTTCCATAGCCAGTTTTCTAAAAGTTGCTTTCCTTTCTGACCCAGCCAATTTGTTCCTATGCCAGTTTTCCAAGCAAGCCCCTATCTGATTTGGCCTTCTAAAAAATTTCTGCAAGGTCTTCTTTTCTTTCTAACTGTTCCAAGTTTGTTCTTGAGTCTTCTTATTCAAAAAAGGCTTCTATACCTTTTGTTATCATAAATTTATAACAAAAAGCAATTTCTCTTGTTTGAATTTTCTTTTGCTCTATGTTAAAAGGACAGTGCATGCTAAGGCAGATAACTAAATTCCTTTTACATACTGGAGATTCATTTAAGCTGGGGTAGAAGACAAAGGTAATAAATATTTTTCAAAACTATTAAAAGTTTTAAAAATCAATCATGATTAGATTGCTTACAAAGAGAAGGAATTTGTTTTGTTTATTTCCAAACCTCTTTTTCTAAATTTTGGCTCTGATATGTATATGACTATATCACACATATATGCAAATGAATGTAATAAAAGTAAGTTCTTATGAAACGTCATTTAGCACCTTAATCAAACTAAGCCACTTTGAGGCCTCAACAATCCAGAGGAGTAAGGCATGTGTGTGGGTTTTAAAATTTTTATTGCAGTATAACATTGACATAGAAGAACACATAAGTAATAACTATGTGATCTGATGAATTTTCACAAACTTAAAACACTCATGTAACCAGCAAAAGGGTTAAGTTTTTATCTTATTTTAAAAGTCTCACTGATGGGCTCTTGAGAAACACCTATGTAGTTGTCCTACTTTGTTATTGACTTTATGTAAGCACGAGGCTGTCCCTCCAACTCAATGATATATTCTACATGACCAGATAGTAGGACTGTGGTTTATACCACATATTTTTTCTAACATAGAGGTAGCTAAGTGCCCTGAAATGAGGACACCCTCAGTAGATGAATATGAACTATATCAGACTCAGTCTATTAAACATTAATACGCACAAATCTCTGCTCTACATGCTTTTGCTTCCTGTTTTATCTTCTACATCACTGACCTTTCCTTCTAAGTCTTTTTGCTGTCACCAACCTCATTGATAAATTATTTAATCAATTATTGGCAAAATGCTTAAGTTTCCTAGAATTCAACTCTTCTTCATCTAAACCTCTCTCTGGCTGAGTTCAATTGGTCCCATGGCTTTAAATAACACCTGTAAGCTAAAGATTCTTGAGTTATAACCTGTACTACAGCCAATTAATTGAATTTACGGCCCCAATTAATGGCCTCTTTATATCCCTTTCATATCTTAATGTGAGCTGTTGCAAAGTCACATTGCAACAACTCATATCAAGAGGTGGAATCGATTTCCTCACCCAGTGAGTCTGGACTGGTTCTATAACTTTCTTTGGCCAATAGAAGGTTGGGGAATGCCAATTGCATTACCAACTTTAAGCCTGTGCTTACTCTTGGAGCCCTCCTTCTACCATATGATCAAACCCAAGGCAGCCCACTAAAGAATGAAAAACCGCACAGAACATTACACTAACTGACCATCAAACAACCCCCAGAAGCAAAGCCATCTAACCAACTTGCAGCTGACTACTGATGCATGAAGTAACTCAGGCAAGACCAAATGAGTCCCTCCAGCTTAACCCAGCTAAATAAACAACGTGCAACATCATAGGATAACAAAATAGCTATTGTTTTAAACTGCTGACTTTTGGTGTGGTTTTTTACACAGCAATAGCTAACTGATATAGCAGCTTAGACATATGTGTAGACATGTATTCAATACCAATCTACACCTCCATATAGATCTCTCACAGCCATTAAAAAAAACTATACCAAATTTGATGTTTACCCCATCTAAAAACCTCTTCAATGTTTTCCTTTCAAAAAGTGGCCCCCTTATTTGTCCAGTTCTTCAAGCCAAAACTCTAGACAATACCATTTAATTCTTCCTTTCCTTCACCTTCCACATTCAATCCATCAGAAAATCCTGTTGATTCTAATTTCTAAATTTTTCTTGAATCCATTTAGTTCTGTTCACTCCACTCACATCACTTCTACCAGTCTAAGCTGCTCATGTCTTATGCCAACAGCACTATAGTGGCCTGCTGTCTGATCCCTTCTGAACCTCTCCAAACCTTTTTTACACAAAAGCTAGTTTTGGTTTAAAAATCCTAGATCAGTCAGTTACCTGCTTAAACCATTCAGGAACTTCTCATCATGCTTAGAATCAAATCCAAATTGGGTATCATGGCCCATGACCTATTTCCTTTCCTTCTCTCCATCTTTCTTCCTGCCACTGTCACTCTTTGACTCACTACATTCCAGCCACATTTGCCCTTTTTTTTTTTTTTTTTTTTTGAGACAGTCTCACCCTGTCACCCAGGCTGGAGTGCAGTGGTGCAGTCTCGGCTCACTGCAACCTCTGCCTCACGGGTTCCAGCAATTCTCCTGCCTCAGCCACCCTCCTGAGTAGCTGGGACACCAGGAGCACGCCACCATGCCCAGTTAATATTTGTAATTTTGTGTAGAGAGGGGGTTTCACCATTTTGACCAGGCTGATCTCAAACTCTTGACCTCAGGTGATCCACCCTCCTCAGCCTTCTAAAGTGCTAAGAGTTCAGATGTGAGCCACTGCACCCAGCCCATGTTTGCTCTCTTGCTTCTCCTGAAATAGCCAAGCTCTTCCTCATCTAAAGGCTTCCGCTCTTGCTCTTTAATCTGCTACAAAAGTCTTTTTCCTTGCTTCTTGCTCTTTGCCTGGTGGCTTCCTTTACCTCTTTCCTATCCCAGATTAAGTCTCACCACCTTTTGAAGGTCTTTTCTGGCCACTCTGTCTAAAGTGGTCTTCCTGCCCCACCATTTTTCTCCATTGTCCCATCCTATTCAGTTCATTGAAAATGTTACAATTGCTGATTCCTGGTGTATTTACTTAACAATATGTGTTTTCTTGCCTGTCTTTTCCACTAGATTCGAAATCCCATAGGGGCAGGATACCATGTCTACTTTGTTCACTTAGCATCATAAGTGCTTTCCACAATTTTGGCCCATGGTAGGCACTCAGTAAACATTAGTTTAATAAACAAATCTAAGTCTTCTAATAACACTATCAAGTAGATTTTTATCATCCTGGTTTTACAAATAAAAAATTTGAGGGCAGGCATTATTTGTATTACTCATACTCAGAGTAGAGAGACAGTATGGTAACCAGGCCAATTTGTCAGAGAAGTAGAGTGGGGACATGAACCCTATAGTTCCTATACAGAGCCCAATCCTTAATAGCTCAATTCCCATGACTTGAAAAACAAGCAACTGTGCTCTTGTGGGAGGGAGTGTTGCAAAGGGATGTGAAGAACAGAATGCTCCAACCCAGACAGGTGTTTCCCCCTCCTTGAACTGCTGCTGCCACTCACATCCTCACCTAATTAAATCCAGATGCAGGAAGGATGGGATAGACAATAATGGCTGTTCCTCATACTTTCCACTTAGAAAAGAGGAAAATAGTTTCCTGAAGCCTTCAGTGGCTATCTAGTTACATTTCATTGACCAGAATTTGGTTCCATTCCAACTACTATCATTTGCAAGGGAGACCAAGATTGCCACTTCTGATTTATGTTCATCACCATTCATCATCACCTGGGCTAGGCTGGTTCCACTCGAATGTATCAAGATTCTGATATCTATGATGGAAGGGAAGAATGGCTATTGATCTATTGATCATACTGGCAACAGCACCTACCATAGCAATCGAATTACTTTAGGTTCTTTTTGTCCCACTTTATTCTAGAAAATATGGATGTTATGGATTAAGTCCATGGCCTAAGAAACTTAGAGCTCAATCTGATGACATTGAGTCTTGAAAAAGTTAGTCTACTCTTCTCAGTAATTGATGAACCCACATGTTGTATCCAAATAGTTTCAACCTCCCAGCAACGGATAAATTTATATACCTGGCATAGAATAACAAAACCACACAATATAACAAGGCATTGCCTAATGATAAACCTAAAATTGTCCTGATAGATAAATCCAGCTATGTTTCAAATTCAGCACTTTATAAGCAACCTAAATATGCTAATATCAAAATAAATCACTTTTGGTAAACCTCAGTGTTATCTTGTTCTCTTCCCCATAAAGACAACTTTTATTTGCCATAAAATTCAATATACATATTTCTGTTTTACCAGAAGTCATACAAGAGTTGTTGAAAACTATTTATAGATGAATAGAGACAAGTTTGACCTTGTAGTGCTGAGCTTTGACTGGAAATTGGGAGACTGGGTTCTAGTCCTAGAACTTCCAAAAATTAGCTGTATGAATTTAGGCAAGTTACTTCATTTCTTCTTTGGTAAAATGTGGAGATTGTAAAGATTATATCTGATAACCCAGTTGAAACCATTTGAACCCTATATTAGCAAGGGTAATTGATTCTAGCAGTTACAACAAACAGCCCCCAGATTATAGTGGTTTAACACAATGAAAGTTTATTTCTCACATAACAGTCCAGTTGGATTCATGAGGCATTTTTGCTGTCTTTCCTCCAAGCAGTGCTTCAAGAACCCAGCTCCATTCATCCTATGATGCCACCATCCTCAGCATTTGGCTTCCATGGCTCCTGTAAGAGAAGAGAACATGAAGAACAAAACAGGAGGTTTTTATGGGAGGCACATCAATTTGACCAGATACCTTGCCCAGAACCTTGTCACATGGCCCCTGCCTAAATGTAAATGAGGCTAGTGACTGGGTGTGGTAGCTCATGACTATAATCTTAGCACTTTGGGAGACTGAGCCAGGAGGATCACTTGAGCCTATGAGATCAAGATCAGCCTGGGCAACATAGGGGGACCGTGTCTCTACAAAAAAAAAAGAAAAAAAAAATTAAAAATAAGCTGGACACAGTGGCACACGCCTGTAGTCTCAGCTACTTGGGAGGCTGAAGTGGGAAGATGGCTTGAGCCAGGAGGTTGATGCTGCAGTGAGCCGAGATCATGCTACTGCACTCCAGCCTGAGTGACAAAGTGAGACCCTATCTCAAAGAAAAAACAAAAAATGAGACTGAGTAACATAGCCTGTGAGACCAGAAAGAAGCAACAGGATTGGTGAATATTAATGCCATATCTACCATAAACAGTTTTGGAAATATTTCTTTCTCTAAATTCAAAGTAACTAGGGGGAATATTAATCTCATTCTAAATATTTTATTGTGTCACTCCCTATCCTTTGTTTTCAAGCACCTCACACTACTATTATGTGTAATCACAAGTCAACTGTTTATATTTTTATCTCCAGCTGTTGGCTGGGAGCTCATCGAAAGAGGAAACCTTTGTAATTCATCTTTGTACCCTGAGGGCTTAGCACAGAGGCACCTATTAGACCTAAGAAGGATTGGCGACTCTGGAAAAATCAGAAAAGAAGTGTTGTCAACTGTTTTCTCCTGGTGATGATGATGGTGATGGTCAATGTCCACTCCCAAATGTTTATATTTGTGAGAGCTGGTTTGTAGGGTGAGCACTTGTCTTTTGAGTGTATACTTGGGGGAGGGATGAAATTATGTTTGTTTTAGACTCTAGAAAAATTGGATAAAACAGCAAATGTAATTTTACAGAATGATGGAGAGTGCATACTGAGGTGGGAGACAAATAATAGAAGGAGATGTAAAACTGTCAACCTTGATCCCCACAGTGATGGGGGACGATGGCATAGGAGTAAGTTATGGGATGATTGTATGTTTGTGAACCTCAGTTCTTCTGCAGCATGAACTGGCAGGACCTTCTCCTTGACCACTTCAGGTGACCTTCTGGAGCCCATAGGTCTCACCAGGAGAGGGTATCAGGCCACCAAACCAACTGACGTAATAGTTCTTCTTGAGGACAATCTCTAGCTTGCCCTCTATCCCATCCCACAGGCCAAAAATGCCACTCAGCATGCCCTAACCCAGAGTCTACTCCCAAATAAGTGATTCTGCAGGTTGCTACAACTGAAAGATGCTCACACCCCAGAATTAGAAAACATCCCTGTGGCAGTCTCAGGTTCTCAGCAAGCAGATGAGGAATGCACATGTGAGCTTCCTTTATTTCAAGTTAAGGATGCATTTTTGTTTTTAAAAATTCAACAACAATAAACATTAGTTGAAAGCCAACTTCTACAGCAGTGCTATTCAATATAGTAGCACTGGCCTGTGTGGCTATACAAATTTAAACTAATAAAAATTCAACAAAATTTAAAATGCAGTTCCTCAGTGTCAGTAGCCACATGTTAAGCACTAAATGGCCACATGTGGCTAGTAGTCACCTTATTGGACAAGGCAGCTGTAGTATATTTCTGTCATCACAGAAAGTTATGTTGGATAGCACTGCTTTAGAAACTGTTTCCATGAAGCTGTGTGCCAGCTTTCTAAGTCAAGTTCTGTCAATCTTGTTTGGTAGAAAATATGATAAATGTTTTAGAAAATCTCAAGAGGACCTTTATTTGGCTGGAATTTAAACATATGCATGCCATTTCTTAAAATATATTCTACATATTTGAAGGTTCAGCGCACCTTGGACAGCCAAATTTCACATCGACAATATGAATAAAATTTTAGCTTCCTGGAGCTCAGTGATAATTATGGATTATAGGTTAAAAATAAAGTCAGTAACTCCTAACAAGGGCATGAGCAATGTAAGACTTTTTTCCAGGTAACATTGGAAGCAAGAAATAACTGAAAAAAGATGTTGCTTATTTTTAAGGGTATTATCTCCAGGTACATATCATTTTAAAGAATAAAATTTTGCATTACCTTTTTCAAAGCACAGACATTTCTTGTACATGTTAACCTTCTAAGCTGTATAATAAGATATGACATCATTTCTTTCCAAGAAGTTAGTTCACCTAAGAGAAAAGTGAATCAGCTCGGATCCTACTTTATTATTGGTCCAGGAGAAGCAAGGACCCTACCTGACTTCAGGGAGACCATCTGGGCTAGTTATTAGAGCTGTTTATAAAACCTTGGTTCTCCTTCTCTAGGGGTGTGGGAGGACTCACTTCCCCACTCCCTAAAGTAAAAAAAGGCCACATGACTTGACTTGCACAATTAAGCATGAGTAAGAGTAATGAATGTCTCTTCCAGAAGAAGCATTTAAGTACCTGTGCTTGACTCATTCCCCCTTTCTCTCTACATTGACAATCATGGAATCCCAAGTTGGAACCTCCATCAGCAGATATCCAGTAGTGAGTATGACGAAGAATGGCTCTGGTAATCTACGTTGGGCACATAGCAAGTGGAAGAATAAACTTTTCTTATGAGCCATTATGAGCATGATGATGTTTGTTACTGCAGTATAACATGGCCTTTGCTGACCAACACATCATCCAAATCTAGGTCATATGGTACCAAATGACAACATGGTTCTGAGTCTTTTGTTTCTATGAATACAAAGCAAAAAAGCTGTATGTGTACAGATCAAGAATCAGATAAAGGTGTAAAATCACACTTGACAAAAGCAATCCTAGGGGCCAGGTATGGTGGCTCACACTGGTAATCCCAGCACTTTGGGAGGCCAAGGCAGGTGGATCACATGAGGTCAGGAGTTCAACACCAGCCTGGACAACATAGTGAAACCCTGTCTCTACTAAAAATATAAAAATTAGCCAGGCATGGTGGTGGGCGCCTGTAATCCCAGGGAGGTTGAGGCAGGAGAATCACTTAAACCTGGGAAGCGTAGGTTGCAGTGAGCTGAGATTGTGCCACTGCACTCCAACCTGGGTGACAGAGCGAGATTCCCTCTCAAAGAAAAAAAAAAAGCAATCCTAGGTCTGATTTCCTACAGACAATAAACATAGAAAGAAGAAATGGCTTATTCATGTGAGCACAAACGGTAAAGAGGTTTATTTAAACTCTGCTGTGAGCTTGGGCCTCCTTTCCTGCCTGGTTGAATTTTAAAATACCATATAGACTGTGTATACCTATGACGCTTTTCCTACAAGAGCCTTACAATTTTCATTTCTTTCTTTCTAGATATGCTGCCAAGAGAATTTTTTTTCTTTAAGAGCAAATAAACCAAAGAAATCAACATCCAGCTTGCTGAGTCACTTGTTTTCCACTTGAATTTTAACTGCAGGGATCTGAAGACAGCCTGTGTTAGGCAGAGAAAGAAAGAGAGAAAGAACGAGTCAGGGAGAAGAGAGGGAGAGAGACATAACTGGAGAGTCAGGGAGAAATTCAAAGAGATGGAGAGAAAGACTGATTCTGGAAAGAAAAGATAAATTAAGTTAAATAGAAAAAGCAAAAGTAATCTTTGAAAGGTTTGGTTAAGATATCTATTTTCTTACTCTGCAGTGGGAGCTCTGAATAAAAATATTTTAATAAAAACTGTAATGTGATTAAGGTTTGAGTTGGGTTTTCATAGTGGAAAGAGCAAGGTATTTAGAGTGAAAGATCTAACTTTTGTATTTATTTTTCATTTTTTAGTGTTTTTGCTTTTTTAATCCCAGGCCCTCTACCATTGACTATCTGACTTTAACAAAATCAGCTCGCTTTTGTGTCTTGGTTTCCTCATCTATGAAAAGCGAATAGTAAAACTTACCACATAAGTTGGTAGGGAAGATAGAATTCTATAAAATATATTGGATGATCTGTGAAACCACCTGACACCAAAAGGGAATAACAAATCCCACTTCTCTCTTCTTTTTTACACCATCTCTTTTTAGTTCTACCAGAAAGTTTCTTTCTCTATGAGGCTTCTTGAAGACTAGCTGTATACAGGAAAACTGTAGTTCTAATTCTGACATTTATTGGAATACTGGGTCAAGGTTCTCCCCTTTCTTATTCTATTTAATCTTCACAATAACCCTATGTGAGTTTATCTTCATTTTACAGAGAAAACAGAGACTTATAAAGGTTAAAAAAATTTCCCAAATCCACACAGATAGTCTTTTAGTAATCTGTTGCCATAATAATATAGTATTGAAATTTCCCCCAAATTCAGCTGCTCACAACAACCATTTTGTGTGACTCATCAACCTGTGGGTCAACTTGGCAGCTCTGCTGGTTGAAGTTGGCCTCAGTAGGGCCCACTCCCGCAACTGTAGTCATCTGGGCTTTGGCAAATCTCTTTAGTCTATAGCCAAAGAGCAATAAGTGAGCAGCAGGAAACTGAGTAATCTCCGACTCCTTTATGAAATAAAATGCTGATCTTGGACCAGCTAACTAACCTTCCAGAACCCCATGCCAAGGCTTTCCTTTGGTCCAGTGCCTTAAACCCATGCAGTCCTGGGGTAGAAAAATGAGGAAGCACATACTTCTGGCAGAAAAACTGCCTCTCATTCCCAAATCCCCCTGAGACAGACGAATGATAGGAGGATGGAGCCTGCCAAGGGCACACAGACAGGGCATACAGAATCGTCTAACCTCTCACCAATTCAAGGGCAGGGCAATTAAGATGCAGAACTCACCACAGCTAGAGATGCTTTACATTAATACTTTAGCATAGCAGCATGCCACAATGTGGTCCACTAACCAACAACATCAGCATCACCTGGGAGTTTGTTAGCAATGTTGACTTTTGAACTTCATTCCAGACCCACCAAATCAGAATCTGAGAAGCATAGCTTCAGCAAGAATTGCAACAGGATTAT